AAAAAACCCAAACCTAAAGAAAGAAACAAAAAACTATTCCACTTTGAAGAAGTAGTATAGATGTTATTTCTGTCATGAACTTCAAACTGTTTTGTCAAATTGTAAGACAACGTTAACATAGTTGTATTTGAGAGATACATGCATTTATAGATTTCTTTGGGAGTATATAAGTATAGAGTGAATCAATGAAAGCATTACTCAAATTACACTGTGGTTCTGGTGGGTTTGCTCCATTCCTTTAAAACTTTGTAGCAATGTAGTTGTTTTGGTTTTTTTAAACAAAAAAAAAATTAATCTGAGGTTGTATTTTTTTATTCTTGCTGAATTCTAATGGATGGAATTTAATGGGGAAAATCTCTAGCAATTGCATCTCTTGTATTATTGCTGGTGATGAATTCTTGACAACAGTACTGAAACAGTCCTGCAAACACATGTTCCTTCTCTGCTCTGACAGTGCACTACTTCTGTTACTGCCTGTTAATTTACTTCAAACTTCTGCTTCCCCTGACAGGATAATGGGACTAGGATCTTACTAATTGACTCCAGGTGCCAGTAGCTTATACCTCAGCCAGTTCAGTTTGTCAGCTTTCCTCATCTTTCCACTGCATTACCTTCTTTCTGACTGATTACACTTGGGACCTTCTCAGAGAATTATCATTGCTAATGCTGCTGCCCGGTTAGTAGGCACTAATGAGTGGGAATTCTGAGATCCTTCAGCTACGTCTCCCATGTTCTATGTAGTTAAGTCACCAATTCCCCACAACAAATAATAAGATATTGTTCAGTGGGCAGTTTATTCTTATCCTCCAACAGTATAAATTAGAGGTGTCATGGCTAAATGTTGGAATAAAATTAACTTCGATATACTGGCATAGGAACATGATAAAATTTCATTTCAGTGCAGAGTTCATATTCTGGGGAAAAAAATGGTGGGGGGGGGATTTGGGGGGGGGGGGGGGGGAAGGGGGAGAGGCAATGAGGGACCGTTATTGTAACAGATTAACAAATTGGTGTATGGATCAGTACTTCTTTTCTTAGTCCCAGCTTCTCCTTTTTACTTGTAAAAAGAAATGGGAATTACTGTGAAGTCATGACTAAAGAAGGTTTGTATTTAAAGAATTCCTGTCTATTTGCTGTCCTGTTTAAACAAGGTCATATAAGGATGTTTGACACTTAAATTCCAGAGAGAGTAATCAGTACTTTATTTCTGAAGAATACTTCATTTCAGATCTAGAAAGAACAATGTTTGCACTTTTGATATGGAAAGTGAGTTTAGTTTCAAGGTGCGTAGCTTTCACTAAATCTCAATGTGCTTTTTTTGTGCGTAGGCATCACTGTGAAGCTAAAATCTGCCTTGTCTGAGTCATTACCTTTGATCCATAACATGAAGTGGCACTCAGCATTTTTGGATCTTGGTCTGAATTGGCCAGAAACAGTAATAAATAACCTAAATGCACGTTTTATTTCTAAGCCCTGGGATACGTATAGTTAACTGCAATGCTGAAGGACTTTCTTCTTCCTCCACTAGGATTTCCTTTACTTTAACATTTAGAGAAGAGGTCAGTAGAAAACTCACATGAATGTAGATTTCACTTAGGCTTTTTCAAGCAGAAAACCAAAGGCCCTGAATCCTTTAATGGAATGAAAGTAGGTTAGAAATCTTGAAAGACAGAAAATAGTAGTTGAGTTCTGTGTTTTTAAAGTACTTTGGATTTTTAAAGATATTTTCATTTCAGCCTAACCCTTATGTTGAGTTTTAATTCACTAAGTTGGTTTGTTTTGGTACAGGAAGACAGTTTTCTATTCGGAAGGGTAGTGTATAAAGAAAAGAATCTCTTATTACTCTTCTCTGTGTTATTGGCAAAAACCTGTAGAAATCCACCTTTGCTTATTTTCTGCCTCTCATTCTCTATGTTCTGTAAGATTACAAGCTCCCTAAGGTGATTACTTGAGAGCACTGTGGCTCATGTTCCTGCAAACCTTGGTGTAAAGACACACAGATATTAGTTGGAGAACAAATGAGAACGAACGCTTGATCTGGTCTTACTGTGATCTACCCCACTTCATGGTAAAAGATAGAATAGCATTAAAAACTACCAAATGAAACTTTAGATTAAATAAAAGTAGGACAGAAGTAAGGTACTTAGTTTGCATAGTAACTTGAGAATTCGTGCTGTCTTCTTTATATACACCTTTGCCTTAGAGTTGGCTGTGTGTTTGTAGAGAAAAAAAAAAAGGTTTTAAACATTTTTAAGCCACCAAAGTCTGTATTTCTGCTGTGAAGTATTATTATACTTTAACATGGGGGGACAACAGCAACAACAAAAAATAAACCCCAAAACTACCCCCCTAAAAAAACCCCAAACCATACACCCCACCAAAAACCACGCACACAAAAATACAAGCCAATTTCAAAGTGACTTCATAACGTGGCAGTCATAGCACAAACTGGACTCCTAAAAAGCAAGTAATACAGTTCTTCAGTCTTGAGGTCTGGTTATCAACTGCCATTAGATACACACACCTTCCTGTCCACAGTAGCTACAGCAGTTGAATAAAACTGGAAGAAAATGTCAGACAGGTATGTACAGCCCCTATCATTCTCCCACTGGCATTTCTTCTGCCTACTTCTTCAGCAGCCTTTGGAAGCCTTAAAATAATCTTTTCTAAGGTGATAGATGCACATTCCTTTTACCCCCAGCTATCTCTTGGATCTGAAAGATGTCCTATTCAGTTTAACTGTTTCACAACTCACATGAACACAATTAGGCCTTTGGGTTCTTTTTAGTTGTTTGTGGGTTGCTTTTTGTTTGTTTGTTTTGTTTCACCACTCCTTTCACAAATTTGAAACAAAAACAGGCATGAAAATGCCAGAGATTTCAAATGCTTTGTCAACAGTGACTCAGTTGAACTGATTTCATTTCCCTAATCACAAATACACAGTATGTTTTGAATGCTTTATATCAAAAAATTGTATAGCTTAAAGAGCCTTTTCCCTTGGAAACATGTTCACAGTAGTCCTCAAGAGTTATGCTTTTCAGAGATTTTTCTTTTTCTTTCCAGCTTAATTAGATTGCACTGCCCACTTTGGTTTTGAACCATGGTTGCAGAGTGGGAATTTTGCTGATGGCCTCCAATGCTTCACAGCTTAAACAGGAGCTCTTGGTAAAATATTTGTACAATACTTCTAAAATTGCAGTCTGTGGCAGCTGAAGGCGAAATAGGTTATTTTTTTGTTGGTCAGGGTAGTGAGAGTAGTTCCATTCTGATGCTCAAAGACAGACTTTTAAAACAAATACAAGTACATTACCTAACTAATGTAATACAAAGTGAGAAGAAAAGAGTTCGTAAGTGGTAGGTAAGGAAGAACTATTTCATCACTTGCTTCCTGAGATGAATTGAGATAATTTATGTGAAGATCGGTTAAATAAAGCCGATTTCTTTGTTTATTTGTCTGTTTTAATTATTCTTGATACCAGCAATCCAGTTTCTGGCTCTGTTTTCAGTGACTGCTGTGACTGCAAAGGTAGTTTGGGTTTTATATTGGGCTCCTCTGGCTTTCACTGAAGAGCTTTCAAAATTATGGAATAAAAACACATTTTGCAAGTTGAGAAGTGCTGTAAGCACGTGACATACGTAGTGACAAGGAGATTGGCTTTCCGAGTTTCCAGAAGGTGTGAAGTTGTTGGTAACATGCATATAGGTATATAAAATAACATTATTTATAGAACTTTAATAGATCATCGGCTTGACTGGGACCAAAAATGCTTTTATTCTTAAGGACTTTGGCTTGTGGGTCTGAGTTGACTTTAAGGCTAAAACCAACAGTCTCAGAAAACTGGCCAAAAGAATAACAGCCTTGTGAATAACAGCCTTCCAGAAGTCAAGACGATAACATTTTACTAAACACTGCTGTACAGTATCCCAGAATTTTTCTGTCTCCAAATGATTTCACAGATAACTTAAGGCACATATGAAAAATTAGAAGCTGTATTTGAGTGCCTTCAATACATTCCTCTTTTTTTTTTTTTTTTTTTTTTTTTTTGCTTCAGTATTTCCATCCCAGATTTTTTCTCCCCCTAGTCTTCATGCCGTCTGCCAGATACTTAATACATTCAACTTGATGGTTTTAAATTGAAGGATTATGGAAAGTCATGACAAGGCAGAAGATAACACATGCTACTTAATTGTATTTGTCCAGAGCCAAGTGCAGTGGTGCCTAGGTCTCTGGTGAAGCTCTCCAAAACTGCTCCAGTACAAGCAATACGGTAACCCTTTATAAAGTTATTCTAGTTTGCCTTAAGTTACAGGCAACATTTTTAACATCAGCCAGATGAATTTGTGTTTGTAGTCCTTTTTAGTTCAGTGCAATAGAAATGTCTTGCTGCACTGTGTCAGCTTCTCTGGCCTGACCTACAGGAATGGAATTGGCATAGCTGTTCTTTACAAGAAAAGTCCATGTGTTGAAGCTGTAGACGCTTGTTTGTATGCTTCTGGTCAAAGCTTTTCTGCGTAGTCCTTCCTGATGAGCAAGTACAGTGATGGATGCGAGTGCTTAGTGGAGTTACCGACCCATTTAGTCCTTTCTAGTACTGTGACGCATACTGAAGGCAGAAATTGAAGATGAAGGTCATTCCTTCATAGGGAGGAATGACATTTCTTATCATAGGACAGGTGGTAGATTCTACCCTCACTGTTCACTTAGGAAGCATGCAGAACACGTGCAGCGATACGGCTGGAAAATAAAGACACATGATATGAAGGAAGGTAGTTTTATTGCAGTATTTTGTAGAAGTGAGTGGTTATATTGATCATACTTGTTTAGCACTAAGGAAAAATGCAAGGCCAAACATTTGTGTCTTGATTTAGGTATACAGAGCGCATGTATACTAAATTACATGAGGGGTTTGAGCTTTTCACATAGAAAAGGGCACAACTGACAAATTTTAATTGCTGTTGACCTTGCAATATGTTATTAAAACTTCATTTATGTTGATTGTAGATTTCTGTATTTGCACAGAGTACCTGATGGGTTGAATGTTTATGCCAGTTTTTGTGTCTGTGCTATTTTGAAATGGATGTAATTTTTTGCTTTTTTACAGCAAAATTGTAACATGAAAGATTTGTTTACTGTTTCTTTATCACTAGTCTGCCTTCCTGTACTTGGTAAACTACTTATTGCTGCTATGTTCACAGTGGCTTATAGAGTTCCAGCCCCTGATATGAGTTACATACGGAACTTGTAGGATTTTATTGTTATCGTTTGTTCTTTTATGGTCCTTACCCATCTACGTAAAGCTTTGCACAACCTTTCACACAGTCATTTTCAATTAATTGCACTATGGCTTAATTGCAAAGCTAGCTCAAGGCTTCTTAGCAGGCACAATTAAATGTTGCAAAACTTACTTTACTTCATACATAAGGAAGAGGTGTGGAGGTCAATTGCAAGATTAATTTGTTACTACCCTCTAGTAGTTACTGTCCCAGTCACCCAAATAGTTAATCCTCTAGGATAGCTTTCCACAGTTCTGGCTTGAGGAGAGTTTAGGTTGCCCGTTGTAAAGGTAACTGCCAGCTTTGTGCTAGAGCACACAAAGTTGTCAGCCAAGCTAGGTAGATGGCTTCAGCTGGCTGGCCTGCTGAAATTCTGAGACAAAAAAGTATGAGTTTTTTAGATCTGACAGGTAGAAGAAGGTGGAAGGAGAAATAACTGTGCTTGTCTCAACATCCTCAGCTCCATGTCTCAAACGTGACCAGTTTGGGGAAGAAAATTGCCTTTCCACCTTTCTGAAATGTCCAGCACTCTCTAAATGTTTTGGAAAATGAGCGATGTTTTGAATTGGTCTGAAGCTCAGTACTCTAAAGATTCCTTCCTAGGCAAGGGGAGAGGTCCTGGAGCTGCCTGTCCCTTTGATCTAGAAGATGAGCATCTGACACTTGGCAAATGCCCCATCTTCCTTCCACCTGCTAGTTCTGCTCTTGCTGAACCTTTTCATCACTGGGGTCTATTTTTGCCTTTGTGCTATGGGAGGAAGTATGTTGAGGCAAACCAGACTCAGGCAAGACCATGTCTGTGGCCAGGAAAACCTTTATCTCCCAGCTCCTTCTCTCTGTCACTTTTAAAGTAATTGCCACCTGGGAAACAAAGCAAGGAAGAAGGACCAGGGGAAGAAGAGTGCTTTCTCTTTTTCTTTTTTTTTTTCTTTTGAACACTGTCTGTTACACTTAGCTTCTTGTTTGAAAATAAATAAATTTGAAGACTGTAGGGAACCTTTGAAGTTTGTATTTCCTTTGCATTTGTTTCTAGCTAAGAAAGATATGGCCACTCAGATAATCACTGGCCTAGCTGTATCCTGATGCGGCAAAAGGAAGGGTAGTTTTTGACCCTGTTCATCTGAATTGTTATGTGCCATTAAAGGAACCATTCCTATCGGAGCTGTTGTGTGACAAAAATTCAGCAAGTATTTGAAAAGTCCAGCAAAAATAAAGTGGATGGAGCTGGGGAGGCAGGAAAATACTTCTGCTTTGACAGACTAGCAGTGGGCAGTAAGTTACTGATGGACCACAATGCTTTTGAAGTGACATTTTCACTTTGCAAAAATTCCACCACAGCCCATTGAAAACTAGATTTAGAAAGGGTTGTGAAGGAGTAGGTAGAGAGAAACAGCATTAAAACTTAGGTCAGAGTTCAACTCTGCGTTGGCTGCAGGTGGCTTTAGCTATTACTTTGTTAATTTTTCTGAGCTACTGTGCTTGAATTACCTGCTGCCTGCAAGCAGCGGTCAGCAGCTTCTCTGAGCATTTCTTTCATCCAGCTTCCAGACTACCCCTCTTCCTTGGTTTCATGACAGGACCATGCTGCGGGAAGGGGATGCTTACGTTCAGAGGCATAGCTGGAGGCAGTCATGTATTTCATTCGTATTCATGGCTCATCTGTAGGAGGCGTGTCAAAGTTCAACAGGCCAATTAAACTTTACCCCATGCTACATCTTTGCATTATTGCCCCAACACAAGAAATCCTGCAAAATAATTGGATTAAATTTTAATCGCTACCAAAGCTAACAATGTCAACAGTGACCAAAATAAGGAGGAATTATTCCGTGTCAGACTTCATCACACAAAGCAATTGTCTGTGTGTATCTTGCCACCCTCACAGTAAAGAATTTCTTCTGTATATCTAATCTAAATCTACCCTCTTTCAGTGTAAAACCATTACTCCTCATCCTATTGCTGCACTGTCTGACACAGAGTCCCTCCCCATCTTTCCTCTAGGCCCCCTTCAGCTACTGGAAGGTTGCTGTAAGGTCCCCCCAAGCCTTCTCTTCTGCAGGCTGAACAACCGTAACTTCTCTCAGCCTGTTGTCATAGGAGAGGTGCTCCAGCCCCCGGTCATCTTTGTGGCCTCCTCTGAACTAGGTTAAGCATGTCCATGTCTGTCTTAATGCTGTGGACCCCAGAGCTGAGCACAGGGCTCCAGGTGGGGTCTCACCAGAGCAGAGCAGAGGGGCAAAATCACCTCCCTCAACCTGCTGGTCACCCTGCTTTTGGTGCAGCCCAGGATAGGGTTGGCTTTCTGGTCTGTGAGTGCATGTTGCTGGCTTGTATTCAGTTTTTAATCCACCAGTACCCCCAAGTCCTTCTCCACAGGGCTGCTCTCAATCCACTCATTGCCCAGCCTGTATCCACATTGGGGATTGCCCTGACTCAGGTGTGGGAACTTGCACTTGGCTTTATTGAACTCCATGAGGTTACCACAGGCCCTAGCCTGTACTCATGGCAGTGGTGTAACTGTTTAATTTTTTTGTACTAGGCTCTGTTTTGCTGTTGTGTGGGATATGTATTTTCTGTGGGTGATTTGAATCTTTACACTTGTTTACGCTGCAATTGCAGAAATGCAACAACTTTAATTAGTTAAGACTGGGACTTGTACTACCTGGGCAATCCAAGCTACCTTATTTTAAATTAGGTTAGGCATCAGTATACCTTCATTGATTGCAAGGTATGGTCTAGTGTGTTGGTTAACTATATTTCATAACTGGGGAGGCTGGAATCTCTGTGTTGGGGAGGTTTTATTTGTAGGTTTTTTTTTTCATAAAGCTGAAATTTTGTATTACCCAATGTACAGCATGGAACACCAGTGAAGCAAAGGCAATAGATAGGGGAAGAAGGACAGAAGTTGCATATCTTGGCATATATATTTAAAATATAAATATGATACTAATGCCATTAATATTTCATTGGCAAGTGGCTTATAAATAAAAATACAGTATTTATTTTCCCAAAAGGTTCCTCCTGATATCAAAAAATGTTTCTGCCATCTTTGCTTGGGATTCCATTTTGAGAAAAATATTCTGAAGCTGGTAGTCAACTAGAAACTTGAGGGTAACAGAATGTTGCATATCCTTTTGCAGATTCTAAACATCTCTGAAGTACTCATAACTAAAATTTTTACAAGTGAAAAGCGTCAACACCCAGACAGACTTCTGTATCTGTGTTGGTAGTGTTGATATATTGTATACTTCAGGTTTTGTTTTACTAAAAATTAAGTCTTGCTTTGGGTTACAACAGGTTTGCATACCTATATATTATCTGTAGGTAGCAGTATAGGAAGTGCTGAGTTCCAGTGTTAGGAAATGCAGAAAGAAGTACTTATTTATTGACCCTGATGTTTTCTCATTTAATGTCTTAACATGGGAAGATAATAATGCTTTCTTCTTTCCTCTTCCCTCCCTGTCTTGGTTTTCTGTAGTGGACCAGATCTATCACCTGGCATCTCCTGCTTCTCCCCCAAATTACATGTATAATCCTATAAAAACATTGAAGACCAACACTATTGGGACATTAAACATGCTGGGTAAGTGGACATCTTTTTTCTTGCTTAACTTTGTTAAACATAATATAACCTGGACAGAGTTACTGAGGGAGAGAAGGATGGAGCTGATGAGTTGAACGTTTTAAAAAGTCGATTCTTTAAGAAAAATAAATAGGGTTTTTTTTCTCCTCTGAAGATTTTTTTACTTTTCCTTTAAATGTATCTGCAGATGAACTCTGGCAACATGCAAGCTCGGCTATCAAAGCACAAGAACTTCATGCCTGTAGCTTGGCTATGGAGTAATAACTGTGCAGTAATTATAGAAGCCGTAAGAACAATTAAGAGCATGGGATTTTTATAGCAAAATTGTGTCTATGGCTCCACTTCTCACCTTGGTGACTGTGGAACATTCCCATGTTTGCCATGAGTGACTGTTCCTTTCTACCACAGTAAACGCTGAACTAGGTGGAACTGCGCCAGCTCTGTAAACGTGGAACATCCAGAGCACTGCACCCTCTTGTGCATGCCTTGGCTAGCAAATTCTGCAAGAACATTTAATGTCTAGCTTCACTCTAGATGTTGCAAGGCAACATTTTCAGCTATATCTGTTGATTTTGATGCTGGGAATAGGCCTATGAAAAGGCCTCAAGCCTTCACTACTTATTCCCCCCATCTTTGATCCATTTGGCATGAACTGGGTGTCAGTGATTGTAAGAGTTATTAGGAGGCAAAATCACCCGCTGGGCATTAGCTGAGTTTCTTACTTGAGTGATACTCTAGCGAGTACAATTTAGAGAATGAAGTTATTTAGAAGCTATTGAGGTATCAGACAGTTGTACAGCATAGATGAGAGATTTCTTTGATAGGCCGTGCCAATTTGAAGGCCAAAAAGTCATTGAAATAGGGTGCAGAATAATCTCAAGTGATGGGTAAGATCATCCAGGCTGTTTAAAGGGGCATAATAAAGGGAAAATTATGTTATTCTGTATCAGGTTTTTTATGTAGCTTATCTTTAAGTTTTGGTAATCATTATATGATGTGTTGTTTCAAGATTCCGATTTCATAACTGGAATGGCTTATGCTTACTTGGCCTTTATTTAGGGGGTAATATGTTAAGTTCTTGGATCTTGGTTCAGTGTAACTTTTAGTCCCAGAAGCAAACACATCATGCGTGTGGGTGCTGCTCTGCGTTTCTCAAGTCTTCTAGCTTGGGAGTGGGAGCTATGGATGTGATTTACAGCTAGATTTATCTAGTGAGACAAATCATATTCTCTTTAAAAACATGTAAAATGAGATCACACTAAAGCAGTTAATGTGACTAAAAGATTCCTGAATTTGATCTAATTATGTTCTTCTTTCCCTGCCCAAAATTTAGGGTTAGCCAAACGTGTTGGAGCACGGCTGCTGCTGGCCTCTACGTCAGAGGTATATGGAGGTAAGAAGGATAAAACAGTGTTTAGAGCTCTTGAGATGTGACCATGTAGCAGGGTATTTACAAACTTTTTGTCAGATGATTGCTAGATCATCACTGTCTTAGCTTGATTTCTTTAGTAGATGTACTTTTCACAGCTTAAACTGTCCGTGATAGTACTTGCTTTAAATCTCTAGTCAGAGTGGTGGAAGGAGGCTCAGACTTTGTCTGTAACTTTCCTATGTCTTAGTTTATGGCTCTTTATCAAAAGGGCTTGTGGGGGAATTTTGAGTGTTGAACTCTGATTAAAATCCAGATGCCATAATGAAAACCTGTGAAGAAAGATAATTTCAGTAGAAAATCTGCTTCTGTCTTCCCCAACTGTATTGTTTCAATTTAGCAATTGCCCTAGTGTGCACAGCACAGTGCAAGAGACAAGGACATAACCTCCAAGCTATGAAAATAGAGATAGTGCATGCATGTCGTTGTGGTGTCTCTTAAAATGTAATATTGAGCAATGGTGCCATAGTTGTTCTTTTGCTGTTACTAAGAAGTAAAGTAGCGAGAGAATGACTGATAGAATTGCTAGCTGGATGCAATGAGAATCTTCAGTGCTTCCTTGGGGTGTGTGACAGACCATGTGCCTATGAGAGAAATTTTCTGCTGTTGTGAACTCTTGCCCAACTGAGAATATCAGTGTTGCAAGGTGAATAGAAATATGCAGGCACAGCCACTGGCTCAACATTAGTAGTTGTGAGAGTCTAGGCTTTGAAAAACAAACAAGCAAACAAAAAATACTCATCTTTGTAACAAGATGCAAAGTTTTGTGAGGAAAAAGTGAGGAAGGAAAAAAATATGCCTCAAGAATAACACTTTTGGCAGAGTAACTTCAGTCAAGAGGATTCAAAGCAAAAACCCAAGTAAGACATCCACTAAGATGAATGGGAAACCAACTTAAGTGGCTTCAGCATTTGCAGCATTCCTACTGCCTCCCTTGCCTTTGATTATCCATGTTCAGGCTCCACAGAGAAAAATGAACGCTCCAAGGACTCTTCTGTATTGAAACAACTCCCTTCCAGAACAGAGGACCAACAGGCAAAAAAAAAAAACATCCCAAGTTTTGGAGCCTCATTGTTCTGCCTTAATCTGCCTGCTGAGGTGGAAAACTTGAAACTCCCATTATCAGGTTTTGTTGTGTTGGTAAAGCCAGTGGAGAGAGCCTACTCATATCATACTCTGACTAAATAGAGAAAGTAATTTTGCCGAAAAATAAAGGGCAGAAAATAAAGTCAGAAAATATCTGTTAGATGCTTCCACAGGAGTTCTCAAAGCAGTGCTCTATAGCGAGCTTCCAGTTGATTCATAAGGCTGCATCTGCCAGAAAGGAGACAGGAACTGAAGCGGCCTTCCAGATCTCAGCACTTTCTGGACCCTTTTAAGAATATTATAGGCTTTTGTAATCATGTAAAACCTCTCTGCATTTGTCATTGCCCCATGGCTCTCACATGGCAGAAATTCATGTGTAAACATGTCCGTGAGCAGCACGAAAAATGGAAGGGTTAATCAGCACACACCCCACACACCCTTCCTAGGAAATTTGTGCTTGGTTGGTTTATTTTGTAATCAAGAGCTTTTGTACTGAATCAAACCAAAGGATTGTCTAACCTGATTGTGCATAGTGATATAAACCAGAAGAAACATAGCAGGTACATTGTGGTACATCACTCTACTCTTTCTTCTTAAAGAAATGCAGTACTTCTCCATTATGCTCATTCTTCTTTCCTTGTTTCTTATTTTATAAAATTTGAAGATGCTTTATTTTTTTTCCAAATACAGTAAAAAGTGCTGCCTACATAGCCTATAATATTCCGTCTGAATTACATTAGGTAAGAGTCTTATTTGTTCCCTTGAGGTAGTCTCTCTTTGCAGAGAAGAGTTGAGTTTAACCATCTGTTCGCACACTCTTTAGGGGAAAGCAGATGATGGCTGTTGCTTGCTTGTACTCAGTTATCTTACTGAAGTCTCGCATCTTCTGTAACTGTCATTTTCATGGTTCTAGTGAATACACTTTAAGGAATGGTTTTGAAACCTAGTATCTTTTAAATGGATAGTTCAGAGAGAAGCTCTTAAACTGTCTAACACCAGTGATGTACTGAAAGATTAATGATATATGGTCACCTTTTTGATAGAAGATTGTTTAAGGTTGGTTTTTTTTTTCCCCGTAGATCCTGAAGTTCACCCTCAAAATGAGGATTACTGGGGCCATGTGAATCCAATAGGTCCAAGAGCCTGCTATGATGAAGGAAAGCGGGTTGCAGAGACCATGTGCTATGCATACATGAAGCAGGTATTAAACTTGTGTCAGATTCAATGGATTTTCTGTAATTATGAAGGCCAAATGTGTAGCAAAACTGGAATATGTGTATTTAGGGGTACGAGGGCAGAAGAGAATGTCTTGAGTAGGAGCATTCATACTGCAGCTGCAAACTTTGTTTTCTTTAATGCAAAAGTTTTATTGCTCCCATCTGTTGAGTTTTTTCAGATGAGCAATGTTCTTCAAGAAAATGTGCTTTAGTCTTCTTAATAGACTTGTTATGTCTTTCAGCATCATAAGTAGTTTTTAGACAGATTAAACTGAGGTGACCTTCCTAATTTAGGAGCCAGATAACAAGAGTTGTTTTAAATTGATCCTGTGCTGAGAAGTGCTTTGCTGAATAGGGCCATTAGTGATAAATGTGGAATGTTTAATGAACATAATTGAAATCAGAATATACAGGTAAAAATGAGGAAGTTCTTTAATGAGTACCTCTTTAGGAGCAATGCATTTTAAATCACTTTAGAAATGTCTTAAAATCATGTACGTATAAATATAACCCTTAATGAAAGATATGAATACTCAGCTGTGTAATGCAGTTTTTCGGACACAGTGAGATGAGAATAGAAATGCCATTCAAAATATGTTTGTGACATGATAAGTGCCACTTTCTGTGGGTTTTATAATCAACAAGTAGAAACTCCTCACTAACTAATCCAGCATCAACTCTTTACCTGTATGTGAATCTTACTTAATTGCTGTTCAGCTAGTCTTTCTAGGAGACTACTTGATTAGAACATGTGGCATGCTAAAGAAAATCATGTCACTTTCTTGGCGTTCGCAGCCTTAATATACAAAGGTATAAATCGATCAAATGTAGTATATTCTGTAGAATTTTAAACCTTTAAATAATAAAATACTAAGGGCTTTTAAAAACCTTAAAAACAGAATTAAACTTAAGTGGTAAGACTTTAGGACGGTATTTTAGTACAGAGGTTGTAGTAATTTTCTCTTATCTCTTCTGCCAGACAGACGTTCGTGTCTCCTTTGTTCTCTTTTAAATCATTTAAGGTACAACATGGGGGTACTGCTCTTGTTCAGGATGATGTCTTCTATACTTCACTGTAGAAAAATACTCCTCGTGGGTCTGAAAATACATTCGCAGTTGAATATTGTAGTTTTTATGAGAAATTCTTGTGCTGTAGGGTATTGAATCTTTTGCAAGTTTGTGGTACACACTGCAAGGCTCTAAGTCATTTTGAAAATCATGGGCTGTATCTTAAAGCCACAGGATGAGTCATGATACTATCCCATAATTTTTATACAGGATTTACGAAGTATAGTAAAGGTTTGTAAGGTGGAACTGCAATGCACATACACGTTAAGGGAAAAATCACGAGGCAAATGAGCTCTCTGTCCTAGGGGCAGTTCTGTGAGATACTTCTTGTACTTTATTATGGGTTAGTGAAATCTGCCCCAGCTTGTCCCACATTCAGGTATATTCTGAAACACTGTTAAGCTTTTTTTTCCCCAGAATTTAGATGATACACTCTTGTTAGCAGAGAAAAGATTATCTTTTGCTGGTGGAAAAATCTGACTACTGCTATGAAAAGTACTGTGCTCTTATTGTGCTTATGTGAAAATAAGGGGGTTTTCAGGCATGAGTGACCTAGCCCAAAGCAATTGGATTTACAGGATTTCAGGCTAAAATGTTTCCAGAATCTTCTCAGCTTCAGTAAAAAGAAGAAACAAACTTATTTCTGCTTTTTTTGGTCATTTTTTCCAGAGTTTTCCATCATCATGCACATAGTTAGGTACCTTATATATCTAATCATGTTTTCAAAAAATCTAAAAATGTACTTCTACGTTATACTTCCAGGCAGGCTGCTTGAATAAGAACAGTTCGTGAATCTGGTCAAAGATGTATGACTCTTCATTTACAGTTGTTAGGAGTTCCTCAGTAGCCTGTAGTGACCAAAGCCTTTTTGGTGCGCTCTTTTCTGCTGGCAGCGCTGTTTTGTTTACTTATTTTGGCCCTATGAATTAAGCATTTCTTGACTTTATCTCCTGTTTACAACTGCTGTCTTTAAACAAGCCCAGGAGCACTTCCTTATCAAAGAGTCTGAGGGCAGTAGTAGCATTCTGTGATATATAACCATCTGCTTGAAAGGAGAGGTGGGGAGTTCGGCATTTGCTGGAGAAATGCAGGTCTCACGAATTCAAAGCATGTACATGAGTTCATCTCATCCCACATGAGGCACCTGAATGTGTGGTTTGAGAAGATATTTGCTATAGGCTTCCGGGAGCAGCTCTCCCTCCTTCAATTTGTGAGGGAGCATAGGTCAGCCATTCTCCTTGGCAAGAGGGGAAGTACCTGCTTCTGGAACTTCTTTCAAGCCACGGGAAGCTTTAGTTCCTTGCTATGGTCATCCGGGAACTAAGTTGCATCCTCTGATCCAGACTTCTTCAGAATTCCCTTCTCTTCATTTCTCTTTCAGTGCTTGCTTGCACTTCCTCCTGGAAAGCTTTTTTCAGTTCACTCACTTGCCTTAACAAGGTACAAGGCTTAGTTTTGAAACTCTCTTATAATAACAGCGAGTCAGTCTGTTTACTTTCTCCATTCTGTACTCTTTTATTTTTGTTACTATTCTGCCTGTCCTTCCTAGTCCCTCCAGTGCTTTATGCTTTTGCATAAACTTCATATATGGGTGTGTGACTTGAGTTTTCATAATTAACTATTAAGTGTAACCTTCTCCAAGTGGACAAGTGTTATGCTCTGCCTTACAGAATACTCTATAACCAGGACTGTGAAGACTCAAGGTGCCAAAAAATCTTAATGGGTAACAGAAGAAAGGGAAGATATGCTAGACGTAAAGTTTATTAATGTGAGAGAATAACACATGCAAACTGGTGCTGAAATTTGGTAAATACAGAAGTGTGTTGCAATTGCAACACTAGGGTGTTTTTCTGTTTTAAATTGAGTTGTACTTTCCCCCTGATCTTTAATTCACAAATTGAGTTGGTTTCAGCAATCGTAAAAAGCCTTGATGTAAAATGTAGGGGTAATGAAAACTGTTGATTGAATTGCAACTGAAAAGGCATTGAATAGTGAATAACCAGGCAGTTATTGAGTAAGTGGATAGAAAACAAATAGCTACGTTGAATTAAATCAGTTTGCTTTAATGTCTTTTGGGAGTTTATCCTGTATTCTCTCATTATCGCTCGTTGTTTTCTTGATATTCAGTACAGGTTATTTTTAAGCATGCGGCATTCTTTTTTGGTGTTGTCACATCAAGTTTGTTAGCAGTTTGATTAAGAAAAGATACAGAATTGTGTTGCTTTTTGTGGAAGAATAGAATTGAATTGTTTGTGGTTCTAACAGTGTAAGGGGAGAAGAGGAAGCATTGCATCTCCTCAGGGCAGTAGTTGAAAGCCCAGAGAACAGTGCTTCAATGACACAGACAGTGGTTATTGTTGGAGGTATACCAGGCCAAAACTAAATTGTAGTGGTAAAAGATATCATGGATTCCTTTAGCTTTTTAGAAGCCACGCTGAGGAGTTTCGCATCCAGGAATAGGAGTGATGCCAAGGTTGGAGAGGGGAGTCTGTAAGGTGCTACAGGCAGTCAGCCACATTGGGCAGTGCCTCTAATGTAGGTAAGAAGGGTTGAGATGCTACAGCCCCTCTCACTGCTGACTGAGGGCATCGACACTGCTGAAGTGCAGGTGTCATCCCCGCAGCTAGTGTCCTGTCTGAGTTAGTTATACACAAAGTCAGTGAAATTCAGAAAGGAAAGAAAAAAAATCGTCCACAATTCCTTTCCTTTGCAAAGTCTGAGAGGTCACACTCTCACAGTTGCATTAATATTCTCAATAAATGTGGCGGTTCCATTGAAAATTTCAAGTACTGTTTGTTGTTAGCCGCTTTTATCTTCTTGATTAACTGGCTCTACTTTAAAAGAGGAAACAGTGCTGCTTTCAACCATTGGTTCACAAATAGGCTTTTATACTTTGGAAAAGAGAACCTGCAGATAAAAATCCATTCACATAGTTCGATAAAGTTAAGTCCTCTAACTGTAATAATACAGAAGTTAAATAATGCTAAGCTTTTGAAACTGGTTTGTTCCAGTTACCTTCTGATAATCCTGCCATTTTGTAAAACCTGCTGGTAGGTATTCTCTGTACTATCAGATTAATGGATCGGCCCATTTTTTAATGAGTTGTTAGAGCTGCCTGTAATTTTTTTTTTTTTTTTTTTTTTTTTTTTGCTGTGTAGAAGCTGTGAACACTGTGTTTGGTCCTATACAAATGTAGAAGTGGAATATGGTTTTCCAAAGCTATCTGTTGTTAACATTCAGTTGGAGGAAGTGAGGTGATTAGGGGAAAAGGAGAATGCTGCAGTATCTAAGGCAGTATTATAAAAATGCAACCTTTTGTTTCACTGGTTCATTAGTAATAGGAACCTCCCTGTAAGTGGAGGGTTTCGTTATTTAAGTATCTGTTTATAAATCATATTGTTTTATCTGAGTTTTCAGAACTTCTTAATACAAACACAGCGTGGATATAATAGGGGGCTTTTTTCTGTGAGTAGAGCAACACTTCTTCCAAATTATACGAAAATAAAGCAGGAAAGAACTGTCCGGTCCTCTGGCCCATATTCAGACACAGTGGTTTTTCTAATGCACTAGTACCTCTAGTGCTACATGCTCTGTGCTGTTAACACTTGCAAAATAGCTTTGTACCATAGACAAGGTTAGAAGACTGCCTTGCAACGATTATCAAAGCCACGGACTAAACAAATGCAGGCAGTTTCCCAAGAAAAGTGAATGCTTTCCATAGTCTCTGTGCTCTGGGTTTGTTTTTTTTTCTTTCCTTGTCATGCTGTAGAAATCCCATCTTCTGATTTCCCTCAGTTAATCAGAGAACTTAGTTCTTTGTTCTTGATATTGCTGTGCTGTTGTGCAAATTTAATTTTGAAGTTAGGAAGACTTTAAACTTTTTCTTTGGAGATTGATTCACTTCATGAAGTTTATCTGGTGTCTGAGTAAGAACATATCCTAGCAGCATTCATCTCTTGATGCAAAAGCATGTGTTGTTTCTGATCTTTTCAGTTTGGTACACCTCTTATTTTTGTCTCTAAGATGCATCTTCCTCATACAGCTACATGCATTGCTCTTAAAGCAGTGATAAGGCATTTTCTTTCACCCGTAACTGTCACGTTACACTAATTCATGAGTAGAACTCTCCATTGTGCAGATGACTAAAATTAAATCGTTTGGCGTATATCTTGCTGTTTGTTTGCATGTATTCCTGACCCTTATTGGAAACTTACTGGAAGCCATGATACAGTTCTCATTCACTGGGTATTATTGCACTGGTTATGTTATCTGCCACCTCATGTTCAGAAGCCATGCTGTGCAGTAAAATACTGAAGATAAAAAAATCCCCATCTGAAGGGGATGTCCCAGTAATTCAGGCGTAGATACGCTTCAGGGGGTGCACGTCCCTTCCCAATGGCAAGGTCTCCTGTCAAAGTGTTGGTGGAACAGGCCTGTGGCTGTTTGCATTGGCCGTGTACAGCACATACAAGAGGTATGCAAGCTGAGGCAAGTGCTAGAAATAGGACATGCTTCATAATGGTATGAAGAGACCTCGAAGAGAAGTTGAAGCTGCTCTAGTCTGGGAGGTGTTGAAGTATAAGCACAGTAATATTTCAACCGTAAGATAAGAGTACTGGAGGCGTGCCTGCATTGTGTTCAGGGACCTGCATTATGCTGAAAGTAGTCAGACAATGGTGATTGTCCTTCCTAGCTTGTTTAGGAGATTTACTGTTTATGAAATTCAGATATCAGCATCACTGTTTTTGCAAAACAGTTTTTAAAAACTGTCAGTAACTGGGAATTAATCTAATTTTACATACACAATAGCCAGTACGTATGTATAATAAAATACCTTGGACCAAGCCTCAGTGTAGTGTATTGTAGCTTAAACCCGTCACAGATGGATCCTGGTGAACACTGTGCTAGTAATGCTGCTGGGATTACAATTCAGAATTTTGGGAACAATTTTGAGAGTTAGTTAACAATCTGTGAAACACATGAGAAAGAATATGAATCAGATAGAAAGTGACTGATAAAGCAAGGGATGCAGGCAACAATCTTAGTAATTTCAGCTGAAACATTGATGAAGACTTGTATCAGGTCATAGTGATATCTGTGCAACTGTCTGGGCTTTCTCTGGCAAATTTTTTTAATCCAGTTGTCTGCTGGAGAGCAGGCAATTGCAGCTTTCCCTTTCCTGATTTTGTATTCAGGGAGGTGTCATTCATGCTTGCTGTTCAGATAGATCCACAGACTATACAAAGAAGGAGGCACTGCTAATAAGTTAGAGAAGCTTGCCTGATATCCTTATGAATTACAGCCACAGCATGTGTTCAAGCTGTTTCAGTTAAAAGAACCTCTTGACATTTGAATTGTATTCTGCGTTGATCTGTTTTCTGAGACAGTGAACGCAAGGAGCTATCTTTTCTTAAAAGGCTTATAAAATTAAAATGTCTTTTTAAATTAAGATGTTATCATGGCATCCTTGATACCTCAATACTTTCTGGAGCAGGGATCTCTAGAACTAAGTGGCAAAGACTGTGCTGAAGAGGTTTGTTTTGCAGGGGAGGCTGGATAACTAATGCTACTTTTTGACTGACAGCTATAGAATAGTCTGAGTATTTATTCAGAAGAGGTATCTCTGTAAGCCATGACAATCTTTCTTGCATTTTTTCTGTCTTCACTGTCTATCTGTACAGGCACGGTCTGTATGAACGTGTCCATACTGGTAAATAATAGAGTGAGCTGAAGTGTTTTGATAGCCCACGATGCTACATTTTATTAGCTTGCTCCCAGGCTCTTTCTTGGATTGCTCAAGGAACTTTCTCTCTGATTAATCTGCTAGTCTTAAACTGTGATGACAGAACCCAGTTGATCACATTTGATCTCCGCGTCAGGGATTACTCTCAAGCTCTCTTTTGTTTAGCAGTATAAATGTGGGCTAAAGAAGTTTTTCTTCTTTCTCTAGCATATAATAAAATATTGCACATGACTTACTGCCACAAATCTGGGGAAGTAATCAGCTTTGCTAGTGGAATACAGTGGAGGTAGTCAGTCATAATTAACACATTGATATTCAGAGTAGCAGGACATAGGTAAGAGTGTATCATAAGTATTTGTAGGCAGTTAATTCAAAAAGCAGTAAAGTTAACTCAACATGCAAAAAGGATCACTTCAAAGGAGGTGTTCATGAAATGGCGAAAGGAAACAGGACAATTTTTAAGTTACTGCCTCCAAAATGTCCTTGTCTGTGGACGAGTTTCTTTTGAGAAGATAGATCCCACTTTTACAGGCACAGATGAAAATTCAGCTGCATAGAAAATAGATTTTTCAAAGGAGTAGGCTGCAGAGAAAAGCTGTGCTAGATGACACTATAAATAAAGCATTACTCATTTTAAAAGACAAGAGTATGGTGGGGGGAGGGGAATAAATAGAAGGGAGAAGAAATACTCAATTCACTGTGGCTGTGAGTAAGTGCCTATAGAGAGTGTGTTGTTTTTCTTTTCTAGATCCCTTGCTAGTTTCCAGCCAATCCTGGAAAACAAGGCTGCTGCTGTAGCTTGTGCAGTACAAGAGAGGCTTTTTGGTCAGCATTGTTTAATGAGTTATTTTTACCTTGAGTACTAGCTTCCAAGTGCCTCATTTTCTACACTTGTTATTAATGACAAGATCTGGAAAGCCCGCATGAAATACAATCCCTCCCTGAAGGAGTCAGCATCCTTTTTAAGATAGAATGCTGGGCAAAACGAAAGAACGAGAAACTCTTTCAGAATATATATTTCCAGATACAGTGAAGGCATTGGGAATGGCTCTGTAATGTGCTGCTGGAAGGATATGTTGGACATGCTACACTGCCGTGCTTTTTTAGCTAACAGGAGATAAAGAATATGTTCTCAACTGATGCATTTTGCATGGGAAGGGACTTCTGCTCTTCCCAGCATTTCTAAGCAGGGCCAGGTGGATGTTCTGAGGTTATTTTTTTGGCTCTGTTGTGGATGCAAGTTTGTTGTGTGACAAAGACTCAAGACTCCAGCATTTCCTATGACACAACAGTTACCTCCCTGGTTACTGTTAGTTTACAGTTTAGTTGCAAATATAAACAATGTTTGATCATGGCAACTGAAACCTTACCTGCAGTTAAACAGAACTGGGTGTTGTTTGGCCTTCTTCATACTAGAGAGTGTTGGGCTTTACCTATGCTACTTGGTGTTTCCCGTTTCTTAACACCAAGCTCAAGCGTTGAAGGTGCCTTTTGCCTCTTTCACTCTCTCATCTGTAAAAAGCTAATGCTATTGCTTTCACAAAACTTACTTGAAGATTCATTTGTTTATGAATCATTTGGAGACCCAGGAGAGAAGATCAGATTTTCCTGCAAGTTTCTCTTCTACATGAAGCTACATTTATTTCCAAGAAAAACGTGTTTCCAGGTCTCTCCTGAGTGAAGCCTGTGTGAGCTGCAGCCTTCAGCTGCGGATGTACCAACAATACATGTCTTACACACACACTCTTGTCTTCCAAGAAAATGACAAGCCTTTGTAAAAGGCATTGAAAGTACAAGATGTTCTGTGTATCCTCTGAAGGAATAACTGAATGTTTGCAACTCCAGAATATTGTGCTTGTGACTTCAGTTGCTTCAGTTGAATCAGCAGCACAAGGTTTGCTTCAGACGAGAAGTGTCTCCTGTGACTGGTAGAAGGATGGCATTTTCTGAAAGGGGGAGTGACCAGGGAGTTTGAGGAGGATGGATAGGCCTGGGCTGAAGTTGACACCTTCCTCCCTGCCTTTGTGGCTATCACTCTCACATGGTAGCATCTATCCATTTACAGCTTACCATGCTGCTCTGAACTTGTCAGGAGCCAAGTGCGTGCTTCAGGTCACAGAGGCAAAACATCCTTCTTGTAGGCTTTATCATGAACTTGTCCAAATGAGTAAGTGTGAATAAGCAGAAAATACTGAAAATACCTGGAGAGAGATTACTTCAGTCTGCAGTCTCTCAGTGTTAAAGTGTTTTGTCCAGATGGTTTCCAATTTCACATATTTGTTGCATTTTACTTTGAAGATTTGCAAAATGTCCTCCAGAAGAGACTTCTGGGAATGATAGAAATGTTTCCTGGAAAAACCTAAGCCATTTACACAGCCTAATAAGTAGCAAGGAGCTAAGAAACATTGTGGCTGTGATTACAAAGCCACTTACTTTATAGCACTGGTAAAGATACTTATTTGAAGTGTTCAACTTTTCTCATCTTTGGTAATACTACCTTGGTACTGTATCTGGTGATTGTGAGACTTCATTTATGTGCAAAAAATGCAGATAAGTGCCAGGTGAAACAAGTTTTTGTTGGAAGCGTACTATTGAAAAATCTTAAAGTTCTTGTTGGAAGAAAATTTGTGTGCTGAAATCATCAGCTATTCTAGCACTGATTTAGAATTTGCATTACAAATACTGAGAACTAGTAGGCATTACCTTGCTGTATGTGCTACAGTTTCCAGTAGGGTTGATGAGAGGTTAGAAGTGTTCCATGGTGAGAAAACAATGGTTGTTAAAGTTGTAAGAGGGATTCTTAAGAAAGCTTTTGGACAGGGGAGAGTTAATTTGCACTCTTAGTAAGGTAGTAACAATTGTTTTTTCTTTGCCTACAGGAAGGAGTTGAAGTGAGAGTTGCCAGAATATTCAATACCTTTGGTCCTCGAATGCATATGAATGATGGTAGAGTTGTCAGTAATTTTATCCTACAAGCCCTCCAGGGAGAACCACTAACAGTAAGTAATGACCTCTCAGTGACTGAAAAGTTGTTCATCTTTAGATCCTATCTTCATGTGCTATGAAAGAGGCTGGATTTCAGAAAATACTGAGGTTTCCCCCCCCACCCCCCTCAAAATCTAATCTTTCAATATATCAAGCTCAAGTGTATAGAATTATATATCCAAAGATGTGCTCTGTTGATGGGATTGGTGTTCCTTTCCCAGAAAGAAATAAGGCTACTAGTTGCAATCTGAGAAAACCTTGAGTCATCCTGAACTTGAATCTCTGTCTGTCACAACTTTTCTATGGGGACACAGCACGGCTTACAGATGCATGGTTTGGTACTTGTTAGGCATCTAAATGGCTTTCTGCAAGCTTGGAGATTAGCCTAAATTTTCCGTGTATAACGTAACATTAAAGGCTGTCAGGCTACATCACGTATTAGTAAATAAAGCCAGCCAGGACCGATTTTTCTTACCATTGACAAACTGATGTGGCATGACCAACATCTGTACAGCTAAATTTTCCTTCTCTAGAGGTCAACATTTGCTTACTTGCTTGCTGTTTATCAGTGATTGTTAACTTAGGCAATTTGTTATTATTCTTTAATGTCATCAGTGATGCATCTTGGTTACTCTGTTGTTCCTAACCATTGCTAAGTTTCTGGTTTAGGCTTGTGGTTATTTCAGAGTAACAAGCCTGTAATGATTTGAATGCTGTGTTCACTGCATCTCCCAAAGATTTGCCTTTTCCCCAGAGATTTACTTTTTTTTTCTACAAAGTACTATCAGTGCTCAGAGTATGGTAGCAATTGTGATGCTGACTGTGACTTAATGGCCAGTGTTTACTAGGACATGTGACATTTTGTGTGTCATATAAATCAACGTTAAGACTGTAGATGTCAGGGCTTAGTCTTGAGTAGCTGACAAAACCAGTGAGCCCAGCTTGCCTGGTCTCTACTGGTAGGAGTCTCTTCAGCACTGAATAGATTAATTGCACAATCACATGGGTTCAGTACTTTTTTTTTTTTCATTCGAAACATTAAAAAAAAAAAGCACTCAAATTCCTGCAGAAAGAGTTTCATTTTCTTATCCAGGCATCTCCCCAGAGCTGCAGGTTGAGGCTGGTTCAGTTTGTTGCAAGACACTAAGCAAGTAGAAGCAGACAAAAAGATGGAGCTTCTTGCTTTGACACTTGATCCTTGTAGGACTTGCTCATATCAACATGTGAGTGTAACCATATACTCGCTTGTCAGTATTATATGTTCCCAGCGTGGCTCCCAGGGGTATAAAGTCTGAGCCTCTAAATGCTGTTTAGAAAGCTTATTGAGCCTATAGAGGGTCAGAAGGTACTTCCATTTTTCAAGTTTGTTCCCCAGTGCACGTAGTGAGCTATTGCCATATTTGGCCTCTCAAATGTTTTTTTTCATTCATGCTTAGTTTCTCAAGTTTTATTGAAAGCAGTACTGTAATCTTTCATAACAAGAACAGAGCGAGGACACTAACTGGAAGTTTTGTGAAGCCTTACTAAATATGAAGTAGTTATTTTGTTTTCAGACATACTTCAGAGCATCGGTAAGAGAAGTCTGAAGTCAGTGGGAGGGAATATTGAAAGCTTTTTTTTTTTTTTTTTTTTTTTTTTGTAACTGCCATGCTGTCTAGACTTTATCAAGAGCGTAATAGAGGATAAAATAGAACATTTTGCCCAACATGACTGTGCTGTAGGGACTAACTGTCTGACATTGAAAATTACTGAATATGAGAAAAGAACTAGGGGGAGAGTTGTTTAGCTGACCGGATCAAATAAAATGAATTATCAACAATAAGCAGTAGTTGAGACCAAAATAAATTTCACCCTTCTATCAAATTTGGCTGACAGGAATACCAAGTGTTGACTTTTTTTAGAAATTGAATGTATTCAGTCTCTTGGTTCAAAGTAGTTGTTCAAAAGAAGTAAATAATCTCTTGAGAAAACAGTTTCTTTAATTTGAAGAAATTATAGCCTGTGCAAACATGACCATTGTTGCTTTGTATTATTGTAAAGGAAGGGTTTATTAAGAGAAACCAGGAAGAGGAAACTACATTGTATTTTCCAGCCACCACCTGCACGTAGGAAAGGTAACCAAATGGATGACTGCAGAAATCATGCACAAATGACTTAGTTCTGTAAACCTTACCCCACAAGCCAAAAGGAAACAAGCAGGAAGCTCTATATACATACACAAAATCTGCTTTCTGTTTGCTTTGGGAGTCCATCAGGCTGTCACTGTGCTCTCCTGGTGCATTCCTCTCAGAACCAGTTATTGGCTAAACTCTGAAACCCCTGATCTTACCCAGTGCCTACTGAAGTGTGAACTCTCGGTTCTGAATTGACCTCAGAGATAGCAGGCTTACCAAGTGACAGATGATGGCATCTATACCAATTGTATTGTCTTTCGGTCCCCTAGGAAAACAAAGATGCTTTCTATTCTGTCCTTCCAAAAAGCTTTTCTGTTGTAGCAGGTTCCTGGTAAGATGTGTGCATCCCCAGTTAAACTTAAGTGTTTTCACCACTCAAATATGCCTACTGATAGCTTTCAGAATTTAAGTATTCATGGTCTAGGGACTTTAGTACTTCACACAATAAAACCATGAAAAAATAATGTTATGTGATACCATTATGTACACTTTAAGTATACTGTAATGTCTGTTTGAACTTAAACAACTTGCTTACTCCAAAGTGCCAGAGTATAACCTGAGAAAACTTCCACCCCCCCAAGATTTTTTATTTTTTTCTGATTGCTTTAAACACTTACAGTGCTATTTTTCTTGATAATTTTTTTAGAGACCACTAACATTCAATAGTCTCTTTGAAGTTGGCTGTTGTTAATGAGTGAATAAAAATTGCTCGTCGTAACCACATCTTAGTAGTCTCAGGTTTGCTTTAAATATTCGTTAGTCTTTTCTGGCTGAGTGCATGCTGCAGCCTCTTTCAGTGTTCCAGGAGAGGACAAAGCATCACTCTGTCTTGCATCCCTGAGAATGTTTCCTACATACAGAGTTCTGGTTAACAAAATGCCTAAGGCTGTGTTTACTGGAAACACATCCAAGAGGAAGAAGACCTTCAAAGAACTGATACTTTGCCAAAGGCTCTGCAAGCACATCTTTTTCCGTTCCTGTAACATTGAACTTGTGTCTCGGGTGTTCCTCCTTGGGCAGTTTTTCTAGAATGGTGAGGAAAAGGTAATTGGGCTAGAGAGGACTTCTATATTTATGTAACTTTTCTAATTTTCCTCTTGGTTTTAGGTCTATGGACCTGGAACTCAGACGAGAGCTTTCCAGTATGTCAGGTAAGCTGTGTTTGTGCTGTCTGGTATTTACTTCACTTGATGGTTCTTTGAGCTTGGCCAACTTTGTATGCATGTGGATTTTAGTCGAAGAAATTATGTTCATTCTTAGGCCAGCTTTACTTTCAGAAGGGAGACACTGAAGTTTTTCAAAGTACCAAGAAACAAAATTTTAGTTGGTTTAGAACTTTGAATTGAGATATTAATGTGTACTTCCCTTCTTGGGACAGCAAGTGACAGGTAGGTAAGTTTTTCATCCTGAGCAGTTTGTCAGTCCTTTCATTTTAATGCAATACTGCCACCCTGTGCCTGTGGGGTGCTGTGGTCGGTGCGTGTACTGTACATGCATGAGTCCCCTTCTGGGGGAAGGAACCGGTTGAGGAGGTCTTGCTGTAGCTAATATTTGCAGTGTAAGCAAGGCCAGAATGTACTTTCACTAAGAAGTGGTGAATCTGTTCCTCAGAATTTTTTGTTCTGTCACGCTAGCTAAACTTCCATGTGCGGCTTCTGGGTTGTTTTAATCATTCTCCACTTGGAGATGTTCCTTCCCTCTGCTGAAAGTAATAACAGCAGTGATAGATGCTACAGAAACCCCGTAAGTTCAAAGTAGCCATTCCTTTCCTGATTATAAATCATAATGAAAGGGATCTGGATTTGTATGTCCAGGGATGAGTGGATAAGTTTATTGCTGATAACCCAAAACAACTTTGGGTTATTTTGTTGAGGGGAGGTAACACCAAAATACACCAAAAGACAATTCAAACAACAAACTGCAAAGCAGGCAGTGATGTCACGTGCCTCTGTCTTACAACTGACTCTATTCTGTTTGAAATATGTTGGAAATGAGCCTCTAAATATGCTTGGGTACTGGAGAGAAAAGAAAGTATTAATTGGTTTTATGTTCTTTCCTATGCTCAGATGAACTGTAGCTAGCGTATCCCGAAGATAATCAGCCTTTCAAACTAACCTCCAGTTCAGTATATCTTACAATAGGGACTGTGGAACAAACAGCTGAGAAAACGTGCACCCATTGAAGTACACACTGTAAATCTGATTTCAGCAGATTCCCTTTCTCAGCTGCCTGATCTGCTTTACTGGAGCTCTGAGGAGGCAGTTCTCTTTTTAGACAAGAATATTATTTATAGGGAAGTTGAAATTGCCTCAATCTGTTCTTCCCTTTCTATAGTGATCTTGTGAATGGGTTGGTGGCATTGATGAACAGCAACGTCAGCAGTCCTGTCAACTTGGTGAGTATGAGAGCTCCACTCTACTGTGTTTACTGTGCAGTGGCCAACATCACCTCTGTTTTCCTCCTTGTCACTGATGCTGATTTCTAGAAAAGAAATAAATGGAGCAAAAAAGCTCTTTCCATTATGAATAATGTATTCTTTCATGTATTCTCTTTATAAATAAGAAGAATAAGCCCTTAGATGTTGAGATCTTACAGTTCCAAGAAGAGGATAAATTTGGTAATTTTGCACTTGTTTTAGCAAAAAGATGCAGGGGACACATGCAAAATACACCAGGGAAATGACTGAAGACATGTTTTACTGAAAAAAAGCACTGAAGGAATACTTAGCTCTGAATAATTAGAAACACTTCATACTAGCCTTGATTAGAGGAAAATGGGATAGTATTTGATTGTATAATTTTCTAATATTGATTAAGCCTGCTTAGAACTTAACTTTTCTGATAGGATTTTTGCTCTGTCCCATTTGTTGTCACCTTATTCTCAGCAGTCGATACACAAATAGAAAAAGGATCCGTATGCCAGGTCATTTCTGTGCACACCAACTTTTGACGGATCAGATATTCAACTCTGCAGGGCAGTTGTTCACTAGATTTTCCTTTTTTACCATGGCCATAAATTCAGTTCTATGTTTTTATCCAAATGCTGATGTTTTCAAACCTCATCACATGTTTTGTCTCCAGAAAACTCAATGTTTAAAATCTGTATGTACCTAAATGTTCAGCTTTAGGTCAAATGATGTAGTAGGAAGAGTTTTGCTTTGCCACAAGGAAAGATAGGGATGGAGGGAACGGAGTCTGATGAAGGTGACCTAATGCTAACAGGAAGCTTTCAGCATTTTGATCTGAAATGTTGATCAGGAGTTCACAAGTTGGTTAAAAAAATGAGAGTTAAAAAAAGGAATATTGTATAGGAAAGCAGGTAGCTTTTATACATATTGATATGTAAGAGGTAGTAAATGCAGAAGCAATTGTTTGCAGTTAAATTGGTTGGGTTTTGTAATTCTTGATGAACTGAGAATTTAGTATACGTCTTCATTATTGTTGGCCCTCAGCTCAGCAAAGTCCTTGAATCCAAATTTCAAACTGATGATGCATTTGTGTGGGCTGCTGAGTGGTCTGTGCCTCTACTGTGGTTGAGGTGCATTTGCCCATTCTTTACAGACTGATTTTTTTTGGGCATACGTACGTTGAATTACCAAGGCAAATATAAATGGAGGGGAACTTTTCTAATAAGTATGGAAGTTTGTAAAAGTTAACAGTTTTTTTCATCGAAGTAGGAATAAGGCGTAATGTTTAGCTTCTTCAGAGTTTTATCATGAGCCTGTTAGGATCATCTCATGTCAGAAAGCTAACATGTCTTAAGGTGTTTAGTTGCTATTGTAATGAATATCCCTTCTGTTTCTAGGGAAACCCAGAAGAGCACACTATCCTAGAATTTGCCCAGTTAATTAAAAAACTTGTTGGTGAGTATGATAAGTAATTCTTAGTAAAGCTTATGAAGTACTTACTGTCATTAGATGATTATCACTTGATCAGTGTATGTAATGTATGGATAATTTAATTGGTCTTTGGATTGCTTAATAACTTTATCAAAGGCATTTAATCGTCTCCTGATCATATAATTAAATATTAATAAGATAATCCAAATCCTCTCAATTATATGTAAAATATTGTATGAACAGTAGAATGAACACATGCTTTCTGTGTATCTATGCAATCTATACCAATTATTTTGTATAATGTTTATGCATTTTTTTAGCTTTGTTTTGGCACAAGGACAATACATAAATGAAACGTAAAACACGTGAATGGAAATGTCTTGCATAACATCGTAGCTGAAGTATGGATACTTCAGCGTGGTGGTTCTTCACAATTATGCAGGCTGTTCTCCTTCAGCTACCATTAAAAACCTCATGCTGTGGTGACAGTCTTTCTCTACTTTTCACTGATCTGCCGGTGACGCTTGCAGGGGCTGTCAGCACCTCCCTTGTATGTGGCTGGGGAGAAAAAGCTGTGGTTAAAAATGCTCTGATACCTGTGGCAAATCAGAACTTTCAAGAGCAGAAGCGAAGGGTTGCGCTTAGTCTTCTAGCGCAGCTTCCTAATGAGATGAAACATACTGATGCTGTTAGCCCAGGATTTTTAGTCTGTAGATTCCAGCAGCGCTTCTGAGAGATCTGAAAACGAAAAGTTCAAATATACAGTACAGAAGCTGATGCATGTGATGTTTCTAATAGAGGACTATCCCCTCTGCTAAACATCTGTGAGTCCACAGATCAGGGAAGGAAATTGAAAATCACAGCACCAAACCCATCAGGCACATAGAATAATTATCTCCATTTCTCTGCTCACAAACAACTTGATCTGTTTCAGTCCGCCTGGAGAGACGGTTTAGTTCTACATCCATAAAATCCCCACAGTAACATGGCATGTAAACTATTTGCTAGATTTGGTTAGAAAAATTGTCCTGTTTCGATGTATTGTCGTGAGGAAAGGCAAGTATTATGTTGGCTATTTAAATCTGACTGGAGAGTACGGGCAAAGAGGAAGTGAAGTCCTTTTCCAATGCAAAAGTGCTAACAGAATCACAGAATGGTTGAGGTTGGCAGGCACCCTCTGGAGGCCACTTGGTCCAACTCTTCTGCTCAGGCAGGGCCACCTACAGCCAGCAGTGACCCAGGACCATGTCCAGACAGCTTTTGAGTATCTCCAAGGATGGAGACTCCACAACCTCCCTGGGCAACCTGTGCCAGTACTGGGTTACCCTCACAGTAAAATAGTATTTCCTGATGTTCAGAGGGGACCTCCTGTGTTTCAGTTTGTGCCCACTGCCTCTGGTCCTGTCAGTGGGCACCACTGATACAGCCTGGCTCCCTCTTCTTTACTCCCCTCATTGGGTATTTATACACATGGATAAAATCCCCCCAAACCTTCGCTTCTCTAGGCTGAACAGTGCCAGCTCTCTCAGCCTCTCCTCATAGGAGAGATGCTCCATCATCTTAGTAGCCATTCACTGTACTTTCTCCAGTATGTTCATGTCTCTCTCATACTAGGGAGCCCAGAACTAGACCCAGCCCTCCAGATGTATCTCACCAGTGCTGAGCAAAGGGGAAGAATCACTTCCCTCGACCTGTTGGCAGCACCCCTACTGCAACCTGGGATACCATTTGCCTTCTTTGTGGCAAGGGCACATTGCTGCCTCATATTCAAACTTGGCATCCAGCAGGACCCTCGGGTCCTTTCCTGCCAAGCTGCTTTCCATCTGGTTGGCCCCCAGCATGTGCTGGTGCCTTGGGGTTGTTCCTCCCCAGGTGCAGGACTTTGCTCTTCTCCTTGTTGAATTTCATGGGCTTCTTGTCAGCCCTTTTCTTCAGCCTCCTTTCTCGAGCTCCCTCTGGATGGCAGCACAGCCCTCTGGTGTATCAGCAACTCAGTATTGATCCAGTGTTGGCCCCTGGGGTATACCACTAGTTACCGGCTCCAGCTAGACTTTAGGGATCATCACCCTCTGGGCCCAGCCACACAGCCGGTTTTCAATCCACGTTGCTGTCTGCTCATCCAGCCCTCAATAAAGATGATAGAGGAGACAGTGTCAAAAGCCTCACTGAAGTCAAGGTAGATGATACCTACTGCTTTGCTCTTGGCTACCGAGGCAGTCATTTCATCGTAGAACGTTATTAGACTGGTCAAGCATAACTTCCTTTTTGTGAATCCATGCTGAAAGGTTTGTGAAATGCTTTGTGAATCCATGTTGCTGTGGGACAGCTGGTTGCATGCAGCGTAGCTGTGTCTGTGGAAAGCATTTCAGTGATAGAATTATGAAGCAGAAAGCTGCAGAAAGACTTGATGCTCCAGTGGGTAGGAAAGATGTAAATGCAAAGCATAGTGAATTGCAGATGATAATGCACAGTCTCTTGTTTAATAGGCAGTGGGAGTGAAATCCAGTTTCTCTCAGAAGCACAGGATGACCCTCAGAAACGAAAACCTGACATCAGAAAAGCCAAGTTATTGCTTGGCTGGGAACCTGTGGTATGTACGGCTGTGTTACTGTTGTGTGCAGAAACACAGGGAGGCAGAGGGGGATGGGGGAGGACCACATGGTAACGATACGTTTGAGTTATCAGAATATCTGCTTACGACAATCTCCAGGACAGTTGTTTAAAAGGCTGTCTTTCGTACGTTGCCCCAGCTCACAATTCAAGAACAGCTGGGTAAGACACTATGGCCTGTGCCATGCAAAAGAGCATATTAGCATTTATAATAGACTTAAGTAGAAAAAAACATTTTTAGGGTAGGCATTTTAACTTTTTCACATGCATGTTATGAAGTATATACCTTCCTGTAAGCCTGATGAATCCTTTGAAATACGTGGTACATAATTATGGGAGCTAGTAAGCTTGCTGTTGCTGCAATCCTCATTCCTGTTTTGTTGTGTGTAACATGCATTATAGAAGGAAAATATTGCTTTTATTTTATTTAAATGTTTTTAGAAAATCTTTGGATTAAGACTATTTTTAAGATGATCTGTAACATCGTTGTAACCAAAAAGTTTGTTTGGATTAATAGGAAGAAATATGAGCACCAGAAAAGTGTTCTGTTTTTTAATTTGTTTAAAAGGAAGTATGTGAAACTCAGGCAAAACAGAAGCTAGCCAGAGAGAGATGACACCGTTTCTGTTTGTTTGGTTTTTAATTCTGGGGGACTGGCATAAAACAGAATAAGAAGCCCTTATTTTAGACTACGGGCATCATATGTGGAGGTGTTCAGAGCTTGTTCTATGTGTCGATAAGCTCGAAATGTGTTCAGGGTTAGTCTGACACCTCAGCACCCACAATAACGTCTGTCCACCTCTAAAGCTTAGTTACCAGCCGTCTGAGGTGATGTCAAGATTGTGGTTGTTCTGCACAGCTAATATGCAAGAAATGCAAAATGCCTGTGGTTGCTGGTTTTTTCCTTTCTCAACCTTTTTGGTGAAGTTAACTGTGCAAGCGTATAGCCAGACATAGCTGATGATAAGAGCTGGTTGGTTTGGGGTGGTAAGGCCTACTGAATCCCCAGAAAGGGTGTGACTTTTGCAGCCAGCTCCCCATTCTAGTTAGCACAGTGGTTTGTAGGCTTTTTCAGATTTGCAGACAAAAATCTTTCCAGGAAACATGTGAACCTATCTAGTAAATGAAAGCCTGTTAATAGAAAAAAGTAGCTCCAAACCCTGGATATTAATAGACTATGCCTGAAAGCACAAGGACAATGCTGAGTATTACAACCACAAAAGGCTGAAAACACTTAAATTTTATACTGCTGGCCTTCCACATTTGGCACAATCAGTACCAAAACTTACTCTGAAGTAGCCATACAGTGTTGGTGTATCAAGGCAAGTAGGTTTTGTGCTGCTACTTTATCCTCCTGTACTGATGATGGTATCAGCAAGCGTGTCAGAGCATATCGCTCCTGAGAAAATGGGGTAGTATTTCTGTTGTTCCTGTCTACAGATCATAGTGTTTAAATACAGGCATAGAATATGAAGAATTACAATTACTTGCATAGGATTTAAGAATATCAAATGAGATACTGGATGATAATTTGTATCCCTTTTTCTATATATCAATGGAGCCCTGAAGAAATAAAAGTTAAAAAAAAACCCCAAACCCACGACCTTTATACCTTTCTGTGGTATATACCATTCTGTGAGATTCTGTGAAAGAGGATCTTTTTAAAAACAGAAGGGGTTTAAATTTCTGTGTGCTTATCTCCTTCAATGTATTATGAATTGAAAGCAGAATTATGTAAGTCTGTTTTGACACTAAACAGACCAATCGCAACCATCTGATGAGATTTAAATTTGCTGGGATTTTTGACTTACTACATCAGAAAATGTATCTGATGCTTGAAAGCAAATGTGCATTAGCAGTGCAGAGATGTAACCAGTATGTGGTGCTGTTAATACTTAGATTGGCTAAGAATGAGACTTCCTAGCAGGTTTTTTGATAGCTGTATTAAAAAAGATACCGTTGTGAAAAGAGCTGATGTGAACTTAGAGTGATACGATTCTCTCCTCGCTTTTGGGAACAGGTCCCGTTGGAAGAAGGTTTGAATAAAGCAATTCATTACTTCCGTAAAGAACTTGAGTATCAGGCGAACAATCAGTATATTCCCAAACCAAAACCCGCAAGGATGAAAAAAGGAAGAACAAGACATAACTGAAGACTATTAGTTGGACAGGAGATTCCCTGCTTGACATTTGACGGATGTAATTTTTTTTTTCTTCTTGGTTTTTTTTTTGAGAGAGAGACTTTGAAACAGGTATCATGAAGAACAAACTGGAATTTCATTCTGAAGCTTGCTTTAAAGAAGTGGATGTGCCTAAAAATAACAAACAAATATTCCCCTTCCCCTGCAAATCTTGCCTTGCACTTTTTAAATCTGTCTTTTTATGTAAAATAGAGTAGAAGCATCTTTTAGTATCTTCAAGTTTTATATCTTGCTGTGAGATCATTTTGTTGTGACTGTCCTTGACAGTTTTATTTACTGGTTTCTTTGTGAAGCTGAAGATAAACACAAATGGGATGGAAAATGCCAATTTATTTATAAAATGGGTACTATAAAATATGAGATGTTCTACTATGCATAAGAAAAAAGCTAGCGGTATTGTCAGGTGAGAGACACTGACATCTAAGTATAGAGGGGTTTAAAAGAATTCTGTATGAGAGCTTTATGTATTCTTTAAAGGAGAGATTTTTTCAAAGGTTTAGTTTTAGTTGTACACTTGAATTTGAGATATTTTCATTGATTACCATGGATAAGGATATTTTGAATCACTACTGTGTTGTGCGTACTCTGGGAATAAAGTTAATGTATTATTGGTTACAGTGGTTGAATATGCTATTTTAATAAAATATTGAAACTTCTATTTACTCGTTTCAGGTTTTCACTGTGGGCGCTTCTCTGGCGCTACATATCTGTGCATTTATTGTATATTAGTCAGAAAGTAACAGTCTGTAAATCATTGGCTCAAAGTTGGTAACATTGGTCTTTCATTGCTTGGCTCTTAAAAGATATATAGGAAGGGCTGTGGGATGTCTGTTGAAATAGATCAGACAGAGGCATCATGATTTATTCCACTCCAGGTAGTTGGTAGCGATGCAGGAGTGTAAGATTTTCTTTAAACCATAAAGTCTAACTTCAGCCTCCCCAACAGAGGAAATGTTTCTATTTTAAGCAGTTATTGAATTGCCAGTAAATGCTTTGATAACTATGTCTGTCATCTTTAACGAAAAAAAAAAAAGCCACAGCAAACCAAACAGAAAAAATCCAATTCCCCTTATTTTTAATAGTTTCCCTTTAATTTTAATACCCAAGGCTGGATACCTAGGAGGGAAGATTGGCAGGGAGTTGTTAAAAGGTATTTTGGCTTAGCGCCACTCAAAATGGAAAATCCTAAATCTCATCAAGCAAAGTGACTTGACTTTATCGCATTAAAGCTTGATGTTTCGTTAGCTTTTGAGTGTCTTTAGGTGACGTCCCTTTGGGCCCCCTTGTGCGAGCACGCCATCCACCAGAGCCTCCCGGTGCTCGCAGTGCTCGGTGTCTCACCCAGTCTGTCTGGCCACGTTCCCTAGGACTCCAGCGACCATGGGGCTGCTGTGTTCATCTGCAAGCCCTGCCTGGACCAGGTCTGCAGTGATCCTTTTGAGACAAAATGATTGCTTCCCTGCTGACAGGCACAAGTTTTCTTCCAGTGGAAAGCTGCCACACAGGTAAGATGGGGAGCCAGGGAGCATTTTCCTGTCTGGTCTCAGAGGTAGAATTTAGGTATTACACACTGCCTCCCATCTTTTCAGAGCTGAGCAGCCTCCAAATATGCCTGTAACCCATCATTGCTGGTACACTCACAAAGCACAGCCTCTCCCTGTACTCAAAACCACAGCTGGATGGATCTGAAAGTAGCAACTGCTTCTTTAATAGTTCTGTGGTGAGAACTGTTAATCAGCTCCCAGCATGGTGTTTTTAACCCTTAGGCTCTAGATTATATTTCGGGGAAGGTGCTCTTTCTCCTTATATTTTACTCCTCATGCAAATTGTGCGCTTGGGTGCCAAAGCTTCTATAAAGAGGTGGTGCACAAGGGCGCAACCCTAGTCCAGCATTTAAAGCAGCCATAGAGAATAAATAGGAGTTGTGGGTACCAGCTGTTACTTCCAGGACTGTTTTTCATTTAATCCAATGACTTCAGTGCAAAATACGTAAACTGTACTGGAACAAGCATGTTTCTGGAGACTAGCACAAAACGTGCTTTTTCCAAAAATTTAAAAAAAAAAAAAAAAATCCCTCAGGAAGTCTGAACGTTTGGATACTACAGCTACGAGTTTAAAAGCTTTTTAGGTTACTTCACAGCCTGACCTACCTCCTTCATAAAAGGAGCAAATTGGAGAGAGGGCAAATGGCTGGTACCGATACATCCCATCTGTGAGTATGTGGCCTGCCTCCTGCTGGGCCTGAGTGACAGACCATTGATTTGCTGCTTCCCTTGTACTGTTTCTAGCTTTTGTTTCAGAGGCTCCTGGTTCAGTTCCCATATTCTTTCTATAGAATGCCTTCCAGAAACAGCAGTCGAGGCAGCTGTTGGCCCTTTGTGTTGGAAGCCGGCGACTGGCCGCCTAACCGATGCGAAAGGCACGGATCGTGGGTGTTAAAGCAGAGCCTGCTGGTGCTTAAGGCTGAAAGTCTGAGGTAATTTCAAGTTCAGTCTGGTCTGAACTGAGCCCTGAAGAAGGCAGGTGAGGGTTTGCATCTTGGTGCTCTCTGCTCCCATCTGGGGTTACGCACCTCAGAAGGAGAAAGAAGGCAGCAAGTTGGCAGGGAACGGGGGTGCGAAACAGCCGCTGCCTCTCCAGAAGAGCCACTTCTGGTGGAGGAGGGTGGAGTACGGTGCTGAGAGCTTGGAAACGTAGGACTCGTAGAACAACTGAAGCCCAGCCGTTGTTCTCCTTTCCGTGCCTGAACACAGTGTATTGTTTGGGTTTTGTTTTTTTTTTCAGGAAATCTGAGAATTGGGATTTTCTGCTGTCACCCAGTCAGGCAGACAATGAGGCTCAAGGTACCTGTTTAGCCACAGTGATCTGCACAAACGGATGGCTTAGCTGGTGTTAGGTGCAAGTCCTTCTCTCAGTAGGGGATATGCAGTGTAGTGGAGGTCTGCAAGGAACTGGCCGGCTTGGTGCTGGCAAGTAAGAGAAATCTTCTAGTAGGAGACGTGCTCAAGGCATCTGCTGCTGTGGATTCCTTGAACCTCGCAGGAAGGACCACTCTTGCTACTGGAAGTCACCACAGCATGAGGTCCACACTTGGATTTTTTTTTTATTTTTTTTTTTTAAAGCATGATGTACTTTTGCTTTATTTCTATATGTAGGCTGCTTGGAAGCTTTGTAAACTACATTGCTGGTCTACAGACAAGCTACAGGGGGGTTTGCAGACCTAATTTATTTTAAGTAGTTCCAGGCTTCTAGAGAAGCCTCATGTCTATCTTTAGGTTAGATTTTTTTGCTATGTGGGGACATCACGATCTGACCATCTTCCTGTGTCTGGGGTGTTTGCAGTTTCTCTAACCTGTATAGACTCCGGCAAGATTAGTAGCTGTTGAACTCAGCACCCTCTGGTCAGTTATGAATGTCTCTCGGTCATCTGTTTTCTCAAGAAACTTTTAGAAATGTATATTTGAAAAAGCTTTCAGTTCTGTCAGATAGGATTGGAATTGGGTTTCAAAGTTGAGAGAAAGCGGCAAGGGAGGGGGGGAAGACACGAAGATGATTGCATGAATTCGTTAGCCTTAGAGAACGGGTTACAGAGGGTGAAACAGGGCTTTGGTTAGTGTGATGGATTGAGCTAGTCCACAGGCTTTTATTGGTATTGAGTTTAATGTTACTTGAGGTCAAGAAGTCCTTGAAGGTTGTTAGAGGCCGATCAGAGAAGACCTGTCCACAGGAAGATGATGCTTTGTTAATAGCAAGGGAAGTGTGCACTCAACATTTCTCACCCTAACACCCATGCATCCCCTCCCTGAAATCAGTGGGAACGTAGCCACCACGGATCAGTAGTTGCTCTGTCGTGAACGTTTCCCTGTGCTTGGATCCCAAGTGGCAGGAGAAGGGAATGCCTTACTTGTGGCTCTGACTCCCTAGAGCTGCCAGGAACAGCAGCAAGAGCTCTGGACAAAAGCAGGGCTCCTTTTGTGTGGCAGAAGTTCCTCAATGTGATTCGGTATCAACAGGATGGTTTTTCTGAAATAACAACTCGTATTTCTTGCAAAAAAACAGACTCTGGTTCTCTATTCCTTTTCCTAGTCCCATCCCTTCTCTCATTTGCCTATTCTGTAATAGCAAACATGGCAACAAGTTCTTGTCCACTTTGTTTTGTTGCCATTTACAGCCTGGAGCAAGGTTCATTCTTGCAGTGTTTTCCCTAGTTTCTGACATGCTCTTCAGCAAGGAGGGGATCCTCTGGATGCCTTGGTCCATGCCATGGCTGAAGCAGCTGGAAGGTCCAAAATATGAAGCCACCAGGAACTGAGGGGTGGCCTTAAGTACCACAGACTGGGCTCTGTCCACCCTGCTGCAGAGAAAGCTATTTTGAGAAAGAAAACCTACATCTTCCATCTGGGAAACAGTCCTGGGGTGAAAGTGCCCAATCCCCCATTCCAATGTGTTTGTGTTACAAGAAGGAATGAAGTGCCCCTCCCCCCCCCAAAAAAATAAAATAAATATATATATAAGACTGGTAAGACTGGTGATGAAGACACTTGATCTTGGAGAGAGAGATTTCTCTGTAGACTTTGGGGGGGGAGTGTATGAGAGCGGCTGTGGGGCACAGCAGAAGTACTTCTGTGCTTTGACCTAAGGGTTACCTTGGAGGTATTCTCAACAAAGGAGGCCAGTCCAACTGACAGACTTGCCTGGCTGACACCACCTGCAAACTGAGGGGTTTGCAGCAGCATTGGGTCTCGAAACATGAAGTGCTTGACCATGGCCAAGCTGTTCCTATTCTGTAGGGAGCCACAACGAGCAATGGCTGCTCTTCTGTCTCGGTGGAGAGGTTACACGATGTGAATGCTGGGGTAGCTGGGGATGGTGATGATACGGTGATGATGTGAATCGCGCTGTGCTGTCTGCGCAGGAGAATGGGAAGGATGGGAGGGAGTGCACAGTTTTGTCTGTGTTTTGGGACAGAAATAGTCAAAAGAAATTAACTTTGTTAATGTAGTTAACTTTGAAGCACTCTATGTGTATTTGTTTGACTATTTTTTTTTAACATAGCTTTCCTCCTTGTGCCTAAACCTGTGATGGCTCATACCTGCTTGCTTTCTTTGTAGCTTGTTGCAGGTACTTTTGCATCATTGCAACTGCTGCACTTCAAGTCAGGTGTACCCCTTTGCAAGAAGGAAGGTGCCCTCTCCTCAGAGCTATCGCTTTGTTGGCTTGCTTGGTTGACCCCAGCTAGCAGCTAAGTACCCTCGCTCCTCCCTACCCCAGTGGGACAGGAGAGAAAATAGGAAGAGCAAAAGTGAGCAAACTTGAGGGCTGAGGTAAGAGCACTTTCATAAGTGAAGGAAAGGAGGGAAAAACCCAAGTGGTGCCAAGGCTGCTCACCATCTCCCCTAAGCATGACTGATGCCCAGGCAGTTGATGGGCAATGGCTACCCTGGAAAATAAACCCACCACCCCCTTCTTCCTCTTCCCAGCTTTTATTGCTGAGTGAGACGTTATCTGGTATGGAATATTGGTCAGCTGGGGTCAGCTGTCCCACCTGTGTCCCGTCCCAACTTCTTGCCCGCCCCTAGCCTACCTGCTGAGGGAGTAGCATGGGCCACAGGGAAGACCTCAATGTTGTGCAAGTGCTGTTCAGCAACGGTGAAAACATCGGTATGTTACCAACACTGTTTTAGTCACAGATCTAAAGCACAGCACCGTACCTGTTGTTATGAAGAAAGTTAACTCTACCCCAGCCAGACCCCAGTGCATGGTGGAAAACTTTAGCGTGCAGCACAATGTAATGGAAAATACTTACTTTTTTGTTTTCTCTTGGAGAATCCACAAGAGAGAGATTGACTTTGTTGTGAGCCTGCAAGGCACAGAAAGCTTCTGGACTGAGTCAGCCTGCAGGAATGGACACAGCTTACAAAGACCTAGGGAGGGATGGTATTTATTTACAGCGCTTTTTTGTTCTTCCTTATTCAGCAGGTCTGAGTTCCCAGTTGTAAATTCTGGGAAACGATGGAAATTAACAGCATGGTTCAAACGTTGCCAAATTCTGTGCGCTTTTTTGATAGGACACCAAATGGAAGTATTCTTCTAGGAATAGGTGTTTTCCAACTTTGCGAAAGAGTCTGTGCTTGACTCACAATATGATTATTCCATACCTGGAATAAAGGGTCTTCTACCGAGGAAACACACCAGTTTAAACCAATCAAACTGGCAAGGATTCTGCTAAGAGCAAGCGCTCCAAAACCTAGAGGAAAGCTGAGATTTTGGAGCCTGTTAGGCTAGCGCCTATCTGAGCATGCGGAGGAGAAGTGACTAACACATTTCTTCAGTTTGGCTCCCTTGGCAGAAAGCTGTCTCCCTGGAAGCATTCCTGTAGGGAGCAGGATAGGGCTGGGCTGCCTCTCCTGGACACCAGTCCATCCCGCAACAGGGACCTGAAGTGAAAGATTAGGAGATACACCTGGAGTTGAGAAAGTAGTAAGTGAAGTGTAAAGAATGGTGTTGCCATGATCCATGCTTTGGAAACTTCTTGTAAGCTTTGGATGGCAGACAGCTAAAGCATCCATGCTGTCTTGCTTCTCTGAGTCTGCTCTAGTGTGCAGTACACGTTTCATCTCTCTTTATCCTTATTCTTCAGCTCCAGAAGTCACGGAGCCAGCCAGCCTTCCTCACCTGCCCTGTCCCAGTCCTCCACGCTTGTCAAGCTTCAGCAGTGCTTTACTGAAGCTTACTTTACTTTACCAAGCTCCTCATGAAGCCCCTGACAGCTGAAATCTCCCTCCGAGGCTTAGGTCTGCGTCAGGACTTTCTCTACAGTAACAAGAGAGAAGCTGCAACATGGCTGATGTTGCTGTGGTAGAAAAGTTGGTTGTGTTTTGGGGTTCTTAACACACACAACCCCACCAGCCAACCCCCCGTTAATCCACTGCACCTCATTAACACATGCCCAGTCTCTGATATATTTTGATGCTCAGCCTCGTGTGTATAGATTCTGGTTTGAACCGGGGATAGAGGCAACTTCATGGTAGGAAATGACACCCAGGGACTGAGTTGGGTGCTCTCTGATACTGCCTTCATTTTAAATAGCTGGTTTCATTATTTTGTTCCCTGTTTTGGGCTAGACTGAAAGCCCACAGCTAAGTGGAAAGGACACAAAGGGGGCTATTCATCAAAGAGAAGCTTTGGGTTATCGTGCCTGGGGAGGGAAGGGGCTGCTCAGATTAGATGCTCTGCGTCTCAGCGATTACTTCTGAAGTCAGGTTCCTGTGCTGAGCCCTTTCCCTGGAGAATCCTTTCCCTTCACAGGCTTTGGAGGAAGGCGAGCTCCTCTGCGCTGAGTTTAGCTTTTATAAATGCCCGTGTCCTTGCCCCAACGGGACCTGTTGAAGTGCTGTATCACACAAGTTTGGAGGGCTGTGCACAAGTAGGTATGGAAACACCAGAGGAGGCAACAAGGCAGGACGTCAACTGAGAGGAATTTTTTTTTTCTTTTCCCCTGAGAATAATTGGATTTATTTGTTGGCATGAATCTGAATGAGCAGGCACATCTGAAATGTATTGGCTTATCTTATGTATTCTATATGCCAGACTAGATGATAGAAAGTAATTTTGTGATTGATTGTAGGAAAGCAGATGAAAAGGCCCTTTAAGAAGGGATCTGTAGTAATACAATTGGAATGAAACTTGCTGTTACGAACGCTACTAAATAACGGCAACCTGTTTATGTTATCAAAAAAAGCTTTTATTTCTCTAACACTTTATATATAGTGTACTACTAAGTAACAATAATTAAAAAAAAAGGTCATGTTGCTTTCTTCAGAGTCTGGCCGTTCCTTTACTCTTGCCATTTCACACGAATAGGAGGAAAGCGGGGTCGTTCTGACTGAGAGGGGACTCGGCTTCACCCAGTGCAGCCCTATAGGCACCAGCTATAGTAGGGTAAATGGCATTAGTAATCATCGTAGTTGACGCCTGCTCCGTGCCTGAAGGTGTGTGGATTTCGCGGGCCAATTGGTGAATCCTCATCGTAGTGGTGTTGGTAGTACCCACCGTAGTACTCATTACGAGCGCGCCCTAAGCTTGTCCAGTAGGACATGTCATCTTCAAATTTCTGCGGAAAAAAAAGAAAATACTTGCTTTCCAAGCCTGGAACTTTACCACGAAGAGAGTGAAACAGAAGTGGTGCAAGAGGTTCCTTTGGGCTCTTTCAGAAATTCAGATCCTTTGCGTGTTTGTCAAAATGAAATCTTTAGATCTGAGGGGGTTTGTGACTTGCACCTACCTTCTCTGTGGGATCACCAGGGCCCCGAGGGCTGGGATTGTCCTGCCCAGCCCCACCTGGGACCCAGGCCCTCTGCCCACTGCCAAGTGCTTCAACTGAGAGCGCCTTCAACCGAAACACATGCTGAGCACCTTTAATATTCGTATTACCTGTTCAGTGGGGGACTATAAAAACAGGTCAACGTTTTGTACTTGTACTTCTGCAACGTATTGTAGATTTTGTACAAAATCTAAAGGTTTGGTTCTCCGTTGCCGCGTGCCTTTAGTCACGACATCCCTGACTGCAAAGGGGGGGCATCAGGCTTTCGCTTCATGCCTGTGATCTTTCCCTCCCGTTCTGCGTGGCTAAAAACAAACGTACAGCACAGCCTTCTAGCTATGGAAATGCAAGAAGCAGTTCAGTTCTGCTCACAACAGCACAGGAAAAACAGTGTGCAAGGATATCAAATACTTGCCAAGCCAAAGCCTTTCCCTCTGAATGACTCTTTGGAAATATTTTTGGCTGAGATTTGAAAAAAAAAAAAAAAAAAAAAAAA